GGAGAGGAGGGGAGAGGAGAGGAGAGGAGAGGAGGCAAAGCAGGTGGTGAGAGAGAAAGAGTAGTCACAGGAAGTGGTCAGTGGAGGAAAATGAGGACAGAGTGGGATGTCAGGTGGGAAGGGAGCAGCCTCCTCTTCTATCGCTGATTATAATGGACACCTCCAATCAAGCTCTGGAGAGTGTGGTTCAGTTTCTCAGTGTGACATTTTTCTTATCTGTCAGTTGGGGTCCACTGAGAGGTAGTACACTCAGCTGCCAGGCTGATCTGGGTTCCCCCTTTCCCTCTCTAACCAAGGCGGCTACTGTTCCCTGAGTAACGCTCCTGGCAGCATAGTTGGGGGTCCACCAGTGGGTGAATTACTCCATTGGCTTTCTGTGGCCCCTGGGGACATGGGTACCCAAGAAAGGAGCTCTTTTTGTCTCCTTGCACCCCTGGCCACTCTCCTTCTGAGGTATCTTGTGGCAGTTTCCTTGGCAGAAAGATGGCCAGAGCAGCCTGTCACATGGACCAAGGATGTGGAGAATGGACATGTGTCCTCTTGCATATTTTCTTTTTGGGGGGCTAGTGCCATGAGAAGAACCTGGCATGTATTAGAAAAGTAATATTAAGTGTCAGTAGGCCTACAAGAGGGCTCAGTGGGAAAAGACACTTGCTACCACGCTTGTCAACTTAAGTTTGATCCCTGGGACCCACATGGTAGAAGCAAAGACCTGACTCCTGAAAAGCTGTCCTCTGACCTCTACACATATACCGTGTTGCACACATCACCTCCATAATAAACATAAATGTGATGAAATCTATTTTTAAAAACCAAAGTGACCGTGCACTGAAACATGTCATGCGAGGCTTTATGTTGAATGTTCTATATATGTTCTCATTTAGTCAACACAGGGTCCCATCTCACAGATGAATAGCACTTGCAAGACTCTAACCCTCAACCATGTTTTAATTTTTTTGAAGCACTTAGTATTTGATGCTGTATTTTTCTTAACTGCATACTTCCTCACCCATGCCAGCAAGAATGCTACTGGTTCACCAGGAGTGGTAGCATTATATTGTAATCCCAAAAGGCTGAGGCAGAAGGATTCTGAGTCTGAAGTCAGTCTGGGCTCATAGTGAGTTCAAGGTTTGGTCTAGGCTATATAGTGAGACCCAGTTTTTTTTTTGTTTTTTTGTTTTTTGTTTTTTTTTTTAAAGAAGGTTATTGATTTGTTGATCTTCATACTCTCACTTTCTAGAACAGTGTATGGCTCATGATAGGTACACATTAATATTTGTTAACAGTCCTTCAAATAGATGGAGAAAATCAGTCTCAGAGGGTTCAGCAATAGATACACAGTGGAGCTAACAACCCACCCAGTTAGCACACTTATCTGGACGTTAGTGCATGAACTAATGCAGACATTAGTGCTCTTCAAAGCCCAGCACAGGGCTCAGGAACATCAGCTCACAGGTATGTGGGAGCTCTTCACTGGACCTGTTTCTTCCCCAGGCCACTTATGTGAACAGTCCTTCCTGGCACCAGGTGTGGTGGTGCACTCCTTTGATCTCAGCACTCAGAAGGCAGAGGCAGGTGGATCTCTATGAGTTTGAGGTCAGCCTGGTCCACAAAAAAAGTTCTAGGACTTCCAGGACTGTGTAGTGAGACTGTTTCAAAACAAAAGAACAAAAAGTCTTTTCTATAGTTCTATACAGAACTTAATCAGAGTAAAAACAGCCATGTGGAAGGCAGAGAGTTGATTGTCAGTGAACACAGTCATCCTGTGTGCTTTCAGGTCTGGAAGCTAGAGAACTGGCTGTTCATCTAACCATCTTCAGTGGCACCTCAACCAGGCCTACCAGAGCAAACCTTCAACAGTCCTTGCTTCCCTTTCCAGCCCTGATGCTCCCAGCCCTGCATCCTGGGGACATCTTTTAGGTGTGGTGCCTTTATTCATCAAGAGAGCTCAGAGGGTACCTAAGTCTTCATCAGGGAAAGGTTCTCACCCTGAGGAGGCTTAACAGGCCCCAGGAGGGGCTGAAATGGTACTGTCTTCTCAACCATGCTCATAGCTAGGCGCCAGGTGAAATGGAGGGAGACGCAGGAGAGCCAAGTGCGGTTAAAAGCCTATTGCTTTTTCTCTTGCAGATATTGATCTACTTAGCTTTGTGCCAGGCTCTTAGCTAGCAATTAATTTCAGTCAGTACAAGGGCTTGCATTTACCATTACACTCCCGAGTGCTCAGGGCCTCCCTCTCAAACCCGTAAAGATGATGTGATGCTTCTCTGCTTCCTGGCCAAACCATGACTTCAGGATCTTTCATTTAGGCTGGAGTTAAAGGCAAGACCTGAAGTCTGTGTTCTGTCATATTGCTAAATGAGGGCCAGAATGTTTTTTAAAAAGAAAGACAAAAACCAAACCAACGTCCTTACTTGATCCTGGAAAAGAGAAAATGGTTGTGTTTGAGTTTAGATGCGATCCAGACCTTTCTTTCTTCAGACCATGTGGGAATCATATGCACCTCTTGGACCTGACTCTTGCTTGGACTTGGCCACTAGCTCTCTGTGTGAGTCTGGCCTTTCATCCCATCTCTGAAACTGTTTCCTTCTATTTTAAGTGGGGATAATAATAGCTAATATCTGTCTGACACCTTAAAATTTATAGAGTGCTCAAATCCATACTGGCTGCCATTGGTAAGCTGATGGGCCAAGGCTATGAAAAATCAAGGTGGTGTTAGCCCTGTGTGGCGCCGTGCAGTCAAACCTGGACAGGAGAGCTTTGCTGAAGTCAGCTGTTCCCTCCACACATTGGCCTCACAAATTCTCTATGTGTGTGCGCGTGCTCATGTGCATGTCTGTGCATATATGTGTGTGTGCATGTATGTTTATGTGTGCATGTGTGTGTGTCTATGCATAAATGTGTGTGGATGCATATGAGTGCATGTGTGTGTGCCTGAGTGTGTGTGTGTGTGCATGTATTCATGTGTATGTGTGTGTTAGCCCAAGATGTCTTCCTTTTATGTTATAGATAATGAAGCATTTGGTCCTAAACTTTCTCATTTCAAATGTTTGTTGGCAGGACACAGAGACCATTGTCAAAGGTTTGTCAGTTTTGCTATAAAGGTTTGTCAGTGGCTCTGTCAGCATTCCTAAAAAAAAGGACTATGTAACTAGGGCCCTGCCCATCCTTGTAAAGGCTTGGGCTGAGTTTTTCCTCTCCTACTTATCTTTAAGGCTTTTCTTAGAGGACAAGCACCCATGGAAACCAAAGAGCTCATGTATCAAATTTCCCATCCCTTTAAGGGACAACAACAGGATTTTCAAGAAAACCTGCCCTTCCCCACCACCTCTTTAGCCAACCAGAGTCAAGGCCCAGCGCCCATCATCTGCTTGCTCCTCCTTGCTAGCCAGACACTGGCCATCTCTAGCCTCAACTCACTACCTGCTCACTGTCAAACAAGAAAGTGGCAGAGGTGGCCAATGGAACCATTTAAAACCATCTTTCACAGTAGGTTTTTACTGAATAACAACAAAAAAGTAATATTTATGTCACTTAGACATTTCTGAGAAGACTTAGATGTTCTTTTAAAAACATCACATCAGTGCCAATGAAGAATATAACCGAGGCTTAGTAATAGATTTTTTTTTAAATGCACACATTATCAGCCTACAACGCAATGCTTCCTGGGCCTTCCCACACATCTCAGCATGCAGCATCCCATCTGTTGTCAGTCTCAAGAAGCTGGTCTGTACTCTTTGATTTTATTAAACTCCTATCTGGCAAGTCACCTTATTTCTTTTAGAATGCTCTCCTCACTTCCAGGCCCTGGGCTTGTGGTCCTGTGCCAGTGTATATAGTTGACAGAGATGGAGATGGTTAATAAAAATGTATTTAGCTTGTGCTTAATAAGAAGTGTTTTCTCTTGTTCTTGTTACTAATTGCTGAAGATGTCTGTGTTTGGATTAAAACTTTGTCCCCTGCCATCTGGATGCCATTGATATGTCTCAGCTCAGTCGTGAGCTGGATGATATCAGTGGTTTCCATGTCAACAGATGACAGAGTTGTATGTGGAACCATGTGACTACTGTGCCCTGGGAAGCCCGTGCTGGGAAGAGGGCAGCTGTGCTCTCAAACCCAAGTATCTTCCCTGATTCTCAGATATCACTGAGATGATTTCAGTTTTGTGCCAATTACATTTACATGTGAGATTGCAGCACATAGTCTCTGGCCATTTAGGAAAGGACAGCGGCCTTGCTGGCGCCCATCGCTGCAGTCTGTAGAAAAGACACCTTTTTAAATCTCCGCTTGATAAGGGGCCAGTGAAGTGACGTGTAGCACTCTGATTGTGAGGGCACATATTTATTGATCCAAACTGTACCCAGACTTCAAGGGCTTGCTAAGCAGCCTTTCTAAATATAGCATCAGCAACAGTGGCTGAGAGGCAACAATGAAACCATTAAGAAGGAAAAGAAACGCCTTTCAACTCCAAGCTCCAGTCCAGCGCTTTTCAGACACAAGATTAATAAAAGATGTGTTTTAGTCATCTTTTCTCAGAGTTTTATGATCTTGATTAAGAAAATAGATCTCCAAAGAACCATTTTCTCAGGAGGCAGAGTGTAGCCACACATGCAAGATAAACATTGTATGAACCAGAAATTGACCTGACAGCAGCTTGTTTCCTTTTCCTTAGATCAAGAATGCTGCCGCAAATGTCCTCCGGGAAACATGGCTAATCTATAAACACACAAAGCTGCTAAAGAAGATTGACCATGCCAAAGTCAGAAAACACCAGAGGAAGTTCCTCCAAGCTATCCACCAGTGAGTACCGGAGCAGCTTACCATGTAACCAAACTGATTCTGGATACCACAGCTCTGCTGTGATTTCTCAAACCAGGGAGGCATAGGAGAGATCCACTCCGCTCCACTCACAAAGCACCCAGTCCAGGCTGTCCTGTGAGGCACGCTGACCATGAGACAGTAGGCAGGCTGCTGTGGAAGGGTCAGATCAAGGGCCTAAAGGCTCTCATGCTATCCAGACCTATATGGACACACACACAGAGGCAGAGGCACACAAGGACACACAGACACATATGTATGCACATACACATGGGCACAGAAGTACAGAGAGACACACACACATGCACATACACACACACACACACACAGACAAACATATACACAGACATACATATTTACAGAAACAGACATACATATACAGACAAATATACACATGCATAGACATATTCACATATGCACAGAAACAAACACATCATGCATGCAGACCCACATGACTTCACATATGTACACAAACACACTGCAACTCATTAGTTCCATTCATGATAGAATAAGTTGTTGTTGTTTTTTTAAGTGTATGGTGGGTATGGTGACTCATTATTGTGATCTTCAAACTCAAGAGGCTGAGACAAGAGGATCACCATAAGCAGAAAGCCATTCAGTTGAGGCCAATCTGGGCTACAATTTGAGATCCTGCCCCCTCTCAAATATGTAAGTAGATAAATAAATAGTGCAGAAAAGCAAAGTAAAAACTTTGTTCTGACCCAGAGGTTTGAGGAGCCTGGATAGTCAGGAAGCAGACATTGGAGGTGGTAGGACAACCCAAACACAGGCAGAGGGAGCAGTAGAATGACCTGAGGTCAGCAAGGCAGTGATGATGACGCAGGCAAGCATGCGTGGAGACCAGAGTCTGCTTTCGTAGGATCCTGTATCCTACTGCTGCTTGTGTTCATGGTTCTAGTGCAGAGTTCCAAGCTCAGGTACAGACTTGAATTGCCTGTTTCAAATCTTCCCCACAGACTGAGGGGTGTCAAGATGGAGCAAAGGAAGCTGAGTGACCAAGCCAACACCCTGGTGGACCTTTCCAAGGTGAGTGCCATCCAGGACAGACCTGGCTCACATCTTCGGGCCACAGTACGGAAATGTCTAGGTTTGACTTTTTTGCATTTGTAATTGACTAGTGTGTCTGCCTTTTAACACTTGGCATTTTTTTTCTTAAGTTAAGTAGCTCAGATTTGTCTTTGTTCATAACTAATTAGCCAATCCAGTTCTTGCTGGTATGTTGCTTATTAGCTGAGCATTGAGGGGAATCTAAAGATGAGTGGAAGTTGCACAAGTAAGTACCTTAGTGAAGACCAAATGGGACAAGGGCCATGTAGATGGCTTCTGTTATGTTTGACATGGTTCTTTCAATTTGTTGTTATACTAGGAAATTTATTTTTCTGTGTCTTCTAATCCATATAGCCCAGGTTTTCCTGACCTCAAATTAATGGTGGTAGTGTTGTGTGTGTGTGTGTGGTGTGTGTGTGTGTGTGTGTGTGTGTGTGTGTGTGTGTGTGTGTGTGTGTTTATAACAGGCAGGCAGCTGACAGTGACCATGGAGATCCTGAGAGCCTAAAGTCTTAAGGCCCAATATGACATTGTCATTCCATGTTTCTTACATTTACTGCCATAAACACCAAAAGCAGACACTCTTCTTGAAAACTAGCACTGTGGGCAGAGCTGAGTGTGGGCAGTCTGACCAGGAGGGCTCCCCGCCCCCACTGCCTTCTGAATGAAATTATACAGCAAGTGCAAAGCCCAGGGCTGGACTGGCAGAACATTCTGGCGGATGTCAATTGCAATGGAACATCATTCCCTGGGAAAGCAGAAGAAACTCCCTCAGGCCAATTAGGCCTTTGAAAAGAGCAGGCAGAAATTACTGGTTGCTGGGCCATGTGCAGGCTCTTGGTTCAATAGAGGAATCGAGACAAAGAAAGGATCTCCTATGCCTGTGAGGACTTCAGTCGCCCACAGACTGATGTGCCGTTGGAAGGGATATTCAGGTGGCGTGTGGGGTTTCCCAGAGCCCAGTGTGGGAGGGCTGAATAGACCCCTGCAGTCTTGGCCATGTTGGCTAACACTCCAGTATGGAAACCTAGGGAAGTACTCCAAGTACGTTGGAGCCATTTAGGCCAAGGCAATCAGGGAGTCTTGGGGGTCATTCTCATACCACCTCCTCTCTCCTGCTCAGGTGCTTGTCCAACGAGCTGCCTCCCACCCACCCTAACCCAGGTTTAGTTAACTTTCTTTTGTTCTTAATTCTAAACTCTCAAGAGAGATGATTTGATTGGCCAGTTTGAGTCACATGCCTGCCTTTAGACAACAGCTGGGACTGGGAAGAAGGAAACAGCTGGGACCTCAGTGAGATGCCCCAAGCAATGTTTCCCACCTCACCTCTCATCTGCAGGACATGGTGGCTGATACCCCCAGGAATATAAGGCCAACCCAAGTTCCCAGCTCATCTTCGTGCAGAGCTGCCCACAGTCTCTCAGAGATGGGGTCAAAGACATGGCCTAGCAGATGAGCACACTTGCTGTGCAAGCAAGAGGAGCTGAGTTTGAATGCCCACCACCCACACTGATAGCCAGGCAGAGCTGCATGTACCTGTAACTTCAGCATTGGTGGGCAGAAAAAGTGAACTTGTATGGCCAGCCAACTTAGCCAAGTCAGCAGTTTCTGGTTCAGCAGGAGGCCCTCTTTCAAGGGAATAAGGCAGAGAACACTAGAGAAAGATCCTCGTCTGGCTTCCACATGCTTGCATCCATGTAATGGCACCCACAGATTTACAAGCATGCAATGCACACAGACAGACACACAGTGAGTTAGAAAGACACTCTCCTGCATTGGGTTGGGAAATAAAGCCATATGTCACTGGGAAGTAAAGCATGTGAGCAATCAGAAGGGACATGCATGAGGAGGAGGCAGATCCTGATAGCCATCCGCTGCTACTTCATAACTGTAATTTTGCTACAGTTATGAATCGTAATGCAAATATCTGATATGCAGGATATCTGCTATGACATCCCCATAGGGGTCACACCCCACAGGTTGAGAACCACTGTCCTAGAGTAATGACGCTAGATGAAATGAGATTAAAGTGTCACTGGTTTATCTTATCCCACAGAGATACAGTTTCACACCCCTACCCACCCATCCCGCAGTGAAACTGTCTTCAGAACCCCTTTCCCTTTGGGACTGTGAGACTTGTAAATCTTACTTTCAAATGAGAGCCAGCGTTCCTGGTGCTTGTTGACCAGCTGTTGAATATAGTCTCAGGTTCTGTAATCAGCATAGGGGCCACAGGGGATCTGGGCAGGGAGCTCTGGTATAGACCTAAGAACACTGTGTGAAGTGTTGAGGTCAGGAGGCCATCAGGAGCACCCTCAAGGCAGCATTTGCCAGGCAGGGTAGAGGGCATACTGTTCTGAAGTGACCAGTGTTATCGAATCAGCCAAGGCCTCAGCCAGGTAGGATGGCCCTTAAAAGAAGCAGCCTGTTCCAGGCCTTTGTGCATCCTCTTCAACCAAGGAGCAGATGGGCGCCTCCTCAGCAGGGCAGCCTGTTCTGGTCGAGGATCATGCCTGAGGCATTGATTACACTTTGTATTCTGGCTGATGGGGGGGGGATGCGGATGCAATCTCATAACTATGTGTAATTATTAACTCCAGCTTTATCTGGATGCTGGGATGGGAGAGTTTAAGTGAATTGCTTGTGAGCTGAAGACTTGCACTTGAGCCTTAACTTCTTCGTTATGAGTCCACAGCATTGACCATCCCCCTCATTGTCTTCTCTTGAGTCCTTAGATGCCAGCACCCTGTGTGAATCTGAGAACCGCTTAGAGCTGTGTTCCATTTAAGGAAAAGGAGATTTTCTTTTCTTCCATGCATATTTGCCATTTAAAATTGATAATTAAGTTGGGCATGGTGATGCATACCTTTAATCCCAGCATTCAGGAAATAGAAACAGGCAAGATTGCTGTGTGTTCAAGGCCAGCTGGGTCTACATACTGAGTTCCAGGCCATTGAGGGTTATATAGTGAGACCCTGTCTCAAAAGAACAAAACAAAGCAAATTATAAAATTGATCATTGATACCCACTCCTTTCAGAATAAGGGGAAAAAAAAGTGCCCACATCAGTCTATCACCTGGAAAGTCCTGGAATTCTTTGGTGATACCCCTGGGCAGAGGTGGCTCCTGCTGCAAGGTAGAGGCCTTTTCATCATCCCATGGCAGATTTCTCTGTGGTAATGGTCTCCTTTCTGTCTTCCACCATGTCTCTCCCAGATGCAGAATGTCATGTATGACTTAATCACGGAGCTCAATGATCGGAGTGAAGACCTAGAAAAGCAAATCGGCAGCCTGGAGTCCAAGCTGGAGCACCTCACAGCCAGCTTCAACTCGCTGCCCCTGCTCATTGCAGACACCCTGCGCCAGCAGCAGCAGCAGCTGCTCACCGCCTTCATGGAGACCCGGGGCATCAGTGTGGCAGTGGGAACTAGCCATGCACCTCCCTCTGACAGCCCGATTGGGATCAGCTCCACCTCCTTCCCAACCCCGTACACAAGTTCAAGCAGTTGCTAAATAAAACTCCCCACTCCAGAAGCATTACCCATAGGTCTTAAGATGCAAATCAACTCTCTCCTGGTCGCTTTGCTATCAAGGAAGTTTCAGACCAGGGAACAGAAAGAAGAGAAATGAAGCTGATGAGCTAACTCACGTTCTTTCAGCGTGCTGTGTTCGATATGCCTTGAAACCAGAAATCTAATCTCTGTTTAGGTGCCTCTACTTGGGAGCTGGAAGAGGAGGTGACAGGAAGCAACGCCTCTATCAGGGTCCTTGCTGCACAGTTGGTGGAGAACAGAAATCCCTGCTCAATCTCAGGTTTTCACAGGGAGGTGGGGAGGGGCAGCCGCTCTGAAGCAGGTGAGAGTGAAGCCAGCCACAGTGGGGTGCAATGGGCAAGGGTGGTATCAGGTTTGGGGAATGGGCTCCTGGCTGCCTTGGGACCTCAGCACACCTTTCTCTGTTTCATCTAAGGAAGCCTCTGGGTGGTAAAAGTGAAAGAGAGCCGCCCGGAACTTTCCAAAATGGACATACACAAATTAGATCAGGGTGGGGGTGACATAGACAAATAAAAAGCCAGAATTTCCATCCAATAATAACATCCAACATATTCCCACACAGATGCTCTGCTCAGTCCAGGGCCTTTTTCTGTTTGAGTTGAGCCCAAATGAAAGGGACCTGCTACCTTGTTGTACACACAGTAAGCAAGCTCTAAAACTGCATTGAAATGACATTTGCTGTGTGCTTAGCTGAGGAAGCCAGCTAGCAGGTATTGGCCACATTTTGGGCTTTGCTGAAGATGCAGATCCCTCCTGAAGGAACAGTGCCCTGGCATGCATCCTGCCTGGTTCCAATGTATGCCAACCCCAAGCTGTTGGCATTCCCAGGGGTGGGAGGGATTGATAAGCAGATTTTAAAAAAACAACAACAGCTTTGAGAGAGTTTTCTTCCAGCCGAGTAAGCTGTGTGCCAGTGGACCCCGCATCCCCAGGTGTCTGTGGGTGGGAGATGAGCAGGCAAGTGTGCTCAGTGCCACCATAGTGAAGAAAACTATTGTCTGGGCCTTTGCAGAGGCCTCGTCACCCAGAAGCAGGCTCTAGCCGAGATGGGGGTGTAGAAGGGTCAGTGCCTCACCCTGTTGAGGTGGGAGGAGAAGGGCAGAGGTGGCTCCTGTGGTCCCTTCTACCTGAAGTCACCTCAGAATGAAACACTGTGAGAACACAAGTTGCCCCAGGGAAACTTGTGTGTAAAACGAGAGGACACATTTGCTAGAAGCCTGTTCCTATTGCTCCGTGTTCATCTTGGGGCAAAAACTACTCCACTGAATCTCAGACTCCAAGAGACTCCAGAAACATCAGATCCAGGATTAGGACAGGTACTCACATATTTTCTTTTTCTTTTTCTTTTCTTTTTCATTGCTCCATGATCTGACCATTCACACAGCTGTGGTGTGAAAGCTATCAACTCATTTATCACTTCTGTTCAGAGGCCTTTGATATCTGCTTGTAAGGTATTACCTATGGAATATTTGTAAGACAAAAGGATGCTATCTGTGTGGAGTTGCTGTCTGGAGCATACACTGTGGCAGGCTATCACAACTGCCACGGAGGCCGTGTCTCACTGTGTGGGTTTCTCTTGTGTAACCCTGGACCTGCTCCCCTCAGGGCAGGGATTGCTGGACAGCAAGGGAGATGACGGTGCTTGGAGTCCACTCTGTGTTTTGTTTTGTCTGTCTTGCTGTTGCTGTCTCATGTTTGGTTTTGCCGTGCTGGAGACCAGACCTGTGGCTTCATGCATGCCAAACAAGTGCTATTCCACTCAACCGTCCACCCCAGCCTGCTGCTATTGTCTTAATGGCCTATCTTCTTAATGGTCTATCGTGATCACTCCCTTGAGCATTTTCATAAGCTGTTTTGCACACCAGAGAGGCCACATTTGTTATCAGCATTTAATTCTTTTTACTTGTTCTTTTAATTATTAATTATCTGAAAGATTTTTATCCCAAGAATGGTATTCCTGTTTTCAGTTTAACCACACCTATGGGTAGATGTACAGCTTCTTTGCAGCATTAGTTGCATTTCACAAAATGAAGGCTACTGATGTGCCTATTTCCTGTATATCTGATCTATAGCCCTCAACTGTTTTCCTCTGCTTTTCCATTGCACCCTGCTGTGATCTGGTGCTGTGTGACCATAAGCATGGCACATCTAGGGCTGTAGTCTCCATTTCACACAGATGATGTGTAAGATCCCACTGCTTCTCCTGCCATGGATCCATCCTGGTCTGGACATAGTCTAAAATCTGTTTTGTTTTGTTTTGTTTTTGTTGTTGTTGTCGTTGATATTCTTGTTAAGTAAACCCTGAAGACCAAGCTAGCAATGCTAGTCAAGAGAATGGCTAGTTTCCAGGAGGGTATCACTAACACTGGAGAGATATTTGGGCATTTGTAGGGTGGCCTGGCCCATTGGTAATTCAATAGCTGTGTGTGGTTTTATCTTCAGCAAAAGAATATACCTCAAAAAAAAAAAAAGTGACAAGATCTGAAAGTTGGCTCTGTAATGGTAAATGATCCTAGTATTTTAGCTTCATGAGTGAAGTAATAATTCTCTTGCAAATACAATTAATTCTTGATGACCTATGTATTGAGGACCCTGGTTATAGCTCACCCAGGTATATTCCTGCATCTTTTGGCTGATCCCACTTCACCTGAGCATCTCACCTGGATGGGTAGAAGATTCTAAGGCTATGTGATAGTGGAAGAGGTCTGAGTCTCAAGACTGGGCTACAATTTAAAACTATGGATTACTGTAATTTTGCTCTAGCCCTGCACTGGTCAAATTCCAGCCTTTCCTAGAAGGCTGACCACTGGCAGAGGGCCTCCTAGCATCTTTCTAGGAATACGGTAGTAGACAGAAGCACTCTAATATTTCCCCAAATATCTGGACACTTGAAGTAAAAATATAGAGCCACCCTCTCATTGTTTAAGCCATATTATAGCTTCATGTACTGTGAAGTCAGGAATGTACTGTGATACTTAAAGACCACTGAGCTCAGTGGGATTTCAGGACATAGCATCAGTTGGTAATTTATACCAGACTAGAAGCCCATTCCTCCTTAGATTGAAGTCCAAATTAAAATCTGCACCATTGGCTCAAAGACCTCGTATGTGGTCATCATCAATAAATTGTCATAAGTCTCTGCAAGCCATCATTACCACCTTCATAATGTATAACTCTATGACATCATGTCTTTAGATATGATTCAAAAGGATAAGAGGGGCATTGCAAAGAGTCACCAGTGACTGTGACCCCAGCAGGGTTCTGTGCTGAAACAGCAACCTTGTAAATTAAAAGATGTAGCAATTGTATATAAAAGTGAGTCCTTGAGGGCTTAGTCAAGAAGGAAATGCAATAGCATTGAAAGATAATGATTTTAATATATTTGGAGATTTTTCTCTTTCACTTTGCAGTAATTTCCTTGCAAAGAAGTCATGGAAAGAAAAAACTAGTGATACAAAATCAGAATAGATTAAAAAAATAAAAAAATCTGAGATTGGAGTTACATATCTGGCCAATATATCTCAGCTTGTGTGTATTTAAAAGTGAAGGTAACTTAATATTAAGTTCGAAGTATTCTGTAAAGGATAAAATGAAGGCACTATTGTTAGTGTGGCAGCCTTGCCTGACTAGCTAACCAACACTTAGATGTAACATTTGAATGTAGTGATAGTTACCAAAAAGCAGTTACTGCACATCACAGAGAGAGTGATTTTCAGGGAGAAATGTAGGGTGTGTAAATAGTTCTGGAAGCCCAGAATATGACAGTGTTTTATCTCAAAACAGTCAGTGTGGCTGCTGAGCCACTATCACAGCATTGCGCTGGCAGCAGGTTACGACTTCCTAAGCTACTGCTTTCAAATGATCAAGTAGGTCCCTGCTTCAGACACTCACTCTACTTCCCCCAAAGCTGCTAGAAGCAAATTAAGGATCCATTAAGTCGTCATTTTTCTGTCCGTGTTGACTTCATGGTCTTTGGTTTCAGTCCCTTAGACAGCCATCTGGAGGCTTCCTGGCAGGCACGAAGAGTTCCTTCTCTCCCTGTAGCCTGTTGGCTTGGTCACATCTTGGACGGTATCTCTTTCTTCACTACTGCCAAAGGGAATATTTGGGGAACAGGGTTATAGCTAGCCCTAAGACAGGGGGAATGGAGAGGTAGCAGTAGTGTCTGCCTGTGGGAATAGGAAGTTTGCACCGGCTGCCTGAATAGTCACTGACAGTAAACTCCTGCCAGATAAGGAGTGTGCAGATTTTTGTTGAAATAGGCCACAGCGTAGGACCCAGCACTCTGTGCAGCGGTCTATAGACAGCCACAGGGGGGTATAACTGTGATCTTTTCTGTTTTATGCCATTACTGGAAACACCTAAACAAGAACTGGAGTTCCCTCGGAACAACACTGTCCAATCTTCAACAGATGACCTCCGACCCAGGTGCCATGTGCCCTGAAGCAGCTGTTTACACACCTAGAAATGTTTTCTGGAAGCTGTGACCTCGGGCCTGGACTGACAGGAGACCTCGTGACCAATCAAGCTGGTGGAGGAAAAGCACAAAATTCAATACCAACCTCTAGTTAAGATCCCAAAGAGATGCTGACATTTCTGGCAAATTAATTAATTAATTAATTAAAAAATAAATAGGAACAGTGGCAAATAAAAAATAATCTGGTTGGAACAGCCGGCATCCAGCTTCCCAGAGGGAGGATGGGGCTAAATGACATTCTCCTGCTGTGTCAGGTTTTGGATCCCAGCCAGAGCTGATCCACCTTCATCGTACATGGTGTGGAATGGCACAACAATGCGATCAATTTAGTCCCAGACTCTCCATTCTGTGCTGGCCACAAGAGAACAACAAACTCGAGTGATAGGATGTTGATGGAAGAACCATTTTCATAGCAAACTAAGAAATGGAAGTGTTTCTATTCCGAACGATGGGTTTCAGTGTGAATTTGCATCTTGCCTCTGTACTGCTTGCTATTTTTTAATGATAGGAGAAAGCATACATTTTATTTTAAATATGAAATATATTGCTATATTATAAACTATATTGTAACTTTCGATTAACATTTTGTATCAAGCTAGTCTTTAGCAGGCTGAGTGACAGCCTGCTTTCCTGATGACTGTTTCTGAGTACACATCGCTGTTAGAGGTTGCCTGACCCCAGACCCAGGGTCCTGGTTCCACAGCATGCTGGATAGACATATTCTTCTTCTCTAAGACTGAGTGGTAGAGACAAAAATAGCCTTGAGGTGAGCACAGAAGAATAATTCTACCCTAAATTCTATCAAGCCATTTCAGAAGCAATTGTTAAAGCCATCAGTCCTTTAGTAGCTATCAGCGACTTCAGTGACTTTAGTAAAATCATACACTCTTTCTATCCAAATGCAAAGGGTCCGGTCTATAAATTTTTGCCTCAGGCACAGCTAACTAGCTTTCCTCTGGCAAATCAGAATTGGGCTTAAGAAAGAGTCTTTTTTACTTTGCCTCAAAATACTCAAAACTCTAAGCATTGGGTTTCTTTGTCTAAGAGGACAATCAAGATTAGAATTCTCCCCAGGCAAAAACCAGTGAGAACTGGGGCACAGGTACACTATTCTGAGCTGGCAATCTCCGGCTGGTGGGGAAGGGATTGAGGTTTCTACAGCTTGTCATCGGTGTGAGAAGAGGAGGCACTGCAAGACCCAGCAGAGAGCCAGCTTCCTCATCTCCTCTTCACTGTAGCTGGCATGAAACCCACTCTCTCCTTCATGCTCCAGAACCCAAGACACTCGTGTAGGGCTGTAGGCTTTCTTCCTTTGAATTGCTAGTGTCCTAGTCTATGTCAAAGCAGAAGGACAGCTCCCCTGAGTCTACACATCTCCCTGTGAGGACTTGCTTCCTAGCCTCACTTCTGCATATCACTGGATAAGTGCAGACTGTGTAGTGAGGGGAGAGTCACCTGCCTACCTCTCCCCTTCTCAACCCCTGGACATGCACACAGATCCACAGACCACGTGAAATCACAGGTGCTGCTCAGGAAAAGAGACTAGAAGCCTCTAAGTTTCCCTGAACTTCAGCCAAGGCTCTGCCGATGTGGCACCTGTCAGTCATGCTCCATGACAAACAAGTATCTAAATGTCCGGTTTCAGTCCTTGAGAGTAGCCAGAGCTGTCTACTGTCACATTCATGTCTCTCGGCATCTGCATTACTCCTCAGTTATAAGCCAGGCTGAGCCCCATTAAAGCCATCAGAACACTAGGGCAACTCTTTTTAGCACATTACTTACTCACTGGGTAACAGAAATGAGTTAACTCTCAATTTTGTAATTGACTGAGAGACATTGATTTGTTTCTTTCTATGTCCCCTGCTCAAAATGGAGCTGTCTATTTTGGTTTTTTCTTCTAATGCTTTGTAGATTGGCTAAGATGTTTACATGTATAGAGAACACATATATTCTGGCCTTTCCCATCAAAGCTGTAACTTATCCACAATCAAGGAAACTAACTCAAATTCTAGATTTGGAGGAGACAGGCTTTGGGCAATAATTTGTATGTGTAGCCATAGGCTAACCTTTGCTACTCCAGGTGAGCACTGCAGATGGGCAGCATTCGCACCCCCTTAAACCTATTAGAAGCAGGTCCCCAGGCCCTATGCCAAGCCCACTCAATCACTATTGGCATTTTAAAGAGCTCCCGATGATCTGTATGCAACCAGCACGGGGAAATGCTGGCCTCCCCACACTGCAATGGTAACTAGTAATTCAAAAATTTAGCTAGTTCTTCCTCAAATCTTAGTTACTGAATTTTGATGATAGACAGGTCTTATGAGATTGTAAAAATAAAGATGACTTATATGATTGTAAGGCTAAAGATGGGTGCATTTGATACTGCACCGTTTAAGTGATATACATGAACTATAATGTTAATAGGAGGTGGCCTTTCTCTACTCCAATATGAAAAACACTCGCACCACAGCTTTGAGCCACTTCAAAGTCCCTTTTAGCCTACAGTAGTGGGCCATCAGAGTAAAAAGTGGTGCCATGGGCAAGCCCCTGGACAGAAGGCTCCTGAGTCTCTCCTCAGCATACTGCAGGAATGGGTATTCCTGATCCCCTGTCCCTCCCTGAGGAAGCTGGAATCTCCCAGTGAGTGAGGACTTTCCTCTTGGAGACTAGAAGAACTCAGTTCAGCCATTCAGACACATGCCTAATCTCCTGAGGCTATTCTCCTGTTTGTTGCATCAGGCAAGGTGGGCAAGGAAAGATGTGAATTCTGATATTGGCACCCTAAGTTGATATGTACACAGAAACAGTTATGTTCTAAATTAATGGCTTTAACCTGTTCATTGCAAAAAGTGCCTTGGACTTCAATCTAAAGAGGTCAGTATAAATATGTATGTGTGTGTGATGTGTATGTAGGCAAATATTTACATATTTATACATACATAGGTGCACACACATATACCTGCACATTCATATATAATATATACATACATATATAAATGCTTCATAATATATCATATTGCTATTCACAGCTTCTTATTTTGTTTGGTCCTATGTTTATTTGTTCAGTGAGATCTTTACATAGAAAGGTTCTTTTCGGGACATGGATGTATTTTTTGTTTGTTTGTTTGTTTTTTACTTTTTATTAAAAAGGTAAAGGATATTAAAAGATTAAAAAATAAAAAAAGCAAAGTGCCTGAAAGTTTTGAATGGAACGTGGTAAACTTTCACAAGCCACCAAAGAAGAAACTAATTTCCATTTGAGAAATATTTTTCTGTTTCAATAACTTTGTATTCCTTGAGGGAAGTGCCCAAATAAGAAAGGGTGAACTGACTTTGTGACGTCCGTTAGAATATGTGTCTGTGGTCTCTACAAGGCAACTTCTGAGATTTTTGTTCAATTGGGTGCCTACCTTTTCACACATCTGAGTCAGAAGGGCCTCATCCTCACATGGCAGCATGGTTTGGGGGGTGTTGTTCTTTGCGTCCTGGAAAAAGGAGCTGGGGCTCAGAGTCATGCCAGATGTAGCTCTGGACACACACTGCTGAAGGCTGGCAAGGACTCCCTCCTCCTGGTCCAGGTGGACACCTCTGTTTTGAGCAGCTAGCAGAAGGCCCCCTGGAGCTCTCTGGCGCCACCTTTCCGCAGTGATGCGCCCAGCCGCTCTGCCTGAGCCACAGCCCCTTCTCTTTGAAAGGTGGGGTCAAAAGCTTCCGGGGGATTTCTGGTTCCCAGGGCCCTGCTCACAGGCTAAAAGGTGCGTTATATACTTCTTCAAACCACGTAAATCTGTCCGGCAGCCTGTGGAGACACTCAGGCAGCAGGCAGGACCAAGCAAGGGAGTCCAGATCCTGCAGTCGCCAGGGTAAAGCGCCTCTTGGAAATTCCATCTGTGGTTACAAGTGACCGTGTGCGCACGGTCTTAACAAGAAAACCCTGTTGTGCACCTCAGAGCTGAAAAGACAACCATGTCCAGCAGCGCCAGGGTGCTGGCACATACAAAGGATTGTCACTAGACAGGTCGGGGCATCTGGAGATGCACAGGAAACAGAGTTCCTGAACTGAAACCTGAACCCTCATTTTCCTTCCTACGACTTTTTCAGATAGAAACTTACCATTATCACGTGACTTAGGTGCTTTCATACAGAGAACTTAATATTTGGAATTTTTTTTTTTTAGGCTTTATAACAAAACGTTTAAAAAAAAAACAAAAAAAACGCAATCTATTTCTATTGCTCATTACTAAAAGGTCTCTTCTAAAATTTCCCTATAAACAAATGTATTTTCTGACTCTGTGATTATTAGACAGTCATTACTTATGTTTATAATCAGTAACATTTTCATTTAAGGACCTCAGAAACTGTCACCCTGGGAGAGAGGATGTCAAATTTTATGCCCTTTGTGCCCATGAGAAGACAAGGCCACAGAAAACTGGGCAGCAGTGGCTCTCGGAGCTAACCTGACCATATAACCTGAGCACAAACTGAGTTTCCCTGCAGCTAGTGACAGCTGAGAGCCAGATGCCTGTTAACATCCTGGGGCATCAGTTAATGTGTGTGGTGGTGGTGGGGTAGGTTGAAGGTTCTAGGGAGACTGCATTTTCTTCTCTGTGCAAAGGATGGGAGTGTGATGCCAAAGGGGATCAGTCTGTGGTCTTCTTCGCTCCTGAATGAAAACTGAAGAACACATATGTACACATGTGGCATGTGCTGGTATGATATGACTGCATTAAATAAACAAGAAAGAAACAACACACACAAACCCCTAAAAATTAAGCAACTGTTCTCCTTTCATCTCTTTCTGTTCCTACTTTTTTTTTTAGATATATTATCCAAACTTAAAACCCAGGCTCCAGAGTGCTGGGAGTTTCATGTTCAGCATTAAACAGATCATTTATATGTACATGTGATGTGTGTGCACATACATATGCATGTTCACAAGTGTGTGCACATGTGTGTGACATGCGTGTGCATGTGAATGCGGAGGTATAAGGTTGATGTCTAGAGACTTCCTCAGTCTCTCCCAACTGCCCATTCACTGAGTCAGGGACTCTCAGCTGAACCCTGAGCTTGCCCTGTCAGTTATTTTGGCTAGCCAGCTTCCTCAAGGGATCCCCTGTCTGCACCTTCCAAGAGCACTGGAATTAAAGGTGGGTGCCAAGCTCCCCCAGCATTTACGTGTGTTCTGGGTATCTGAACTCTGGTAGTACTTTAACCACTGAGACAACCCTCCCATCTCCCCAGGCTCTTAAACAGGAATTTTTTAAAGGAAGAATTTTTAGCCAGGTGGTGGTGACACACACCTTTAATCCCAGCACTCAGGAGGCAGAGGCAGGCAAACCTCTGTGAGTTCAAGACCAGCCTGGTCTATAGAGTGAGTTCTAGGACAGCTAGGGCTACACAGAGAGACCCTGTCTTAAACTGCCCCCCCCAAAGGGAAGAATTTTTAATTTTATTGAGAGAGAAAAGATGAGGAGGAGGAGGAAAGAAAGAAGGAAGGAAAGAAACAAAAGTGGCCCCTGGAAAAGATTGCTTTTTACAATAAAACCGAGGCTGCCTTGGCTAATGTCAGTGTTGACTCAGATCTCTCCAACACAACGATACAGGAAAGGACATCAGTCTAACACAGCTGCCCACCAGAGGTGAACCCACAGCTATGTTCAGATCCACCCTAGCAGTGGGTCGATCCATCAGAGCAGATAGGTGGCTTGGCTGCACAGTAGCCTCCCCCCTTCCCCAGGAGCTTTAGAAAATACCCTCACTGGTCCCCTTAGCCCTGCAGATTTAACAGGATATCTAGGGTGGTGCTTGGGTCCATCAGGTGCTTCTAAGAGTCAGCTGGGATGGCTGTGTGGGGACGGGTGCTGACACATGCACCTACCTGTGCCCAGCCTGGCCCCAGGTTTCTGAAAACTTTGCTTTCATCCAGCTCACAGGCTGGGAGGAGAGGGTCTCAGAGAGGGACATGGTTGCTATACAGGTCACGAAGTGGTCACAGCTTGATCCCTTTGTTTTCAGTTATGGGCCCATTCAAGTGCTGTTTGCAAGGGCAAACAATGCCATGGGGTTATCCTGGCTCAGTGGCTCTGTCTAGATGCTTGGCTTCTGCTGGCACAGCTAGTCTCGGCATCATATCTTTTTTTTGGCCTTACCTCCCAGTGAGGACTGGGGGAGGACCATACTGGTATCTTTTACTGAGGGGGAGGGGGTCAAAATTAAAAATAACACAGCCTGCTAGCAGGTATGTGCTGAATTTAACAGAAAAAGTGTAGCTGCTGTTATACCCAGTTATCTTTTCAAAACTACATCCAACCAAAAATAAAATTCTGTCTCTTCTCTTTTAAAAAAATAATTGAGCCATTATTATATTATAAATGTTGTTGACTGTTAGAAAAACAGAGCATTAGAGTACAAAGGGGCCCCCAGATTTTAAAAAAATGGACAATTGGACCAAGTGTAGAATCCAGGAGATCATGGGTAAGAGTGATTCCTGCAGGCCAACAGGAATAAAACAGTTTAGGAGAGGAGAAACACGGCCTCAACACCCAGGAAAAGGCTCATGTATAAGCTTGTTGAGAGCAACAAGGGGAGAGAGGGCTGGAGAAGGAACTCAGCAGCCGAGAACACGGGTTGTGCTCAAAGAGGACTTCACTTCAGTTCTCAGCACCCACATGACAACTCACACCAATCTGTAACTCCAGTTCCAGAGGATTTGACACCTCCTCTGGCCCATGGGCATCAGGTACACACACAGTGCACATCACAGACAGAGGAGAAACATGCAAACCCACAAACAAAATAAAATAAGCAACAACATGCTGGCCCTGAAATTCGGGTGCTGATGAGCAGAGCTGGCTGTCCATCCATCTAGCTTGTAGACTTTGCTGCCTGTATTCATTTCTTGTTTTGCTGCTGTGACAAAAAACTTACACTGTGACAAAAGGGCTTATTTTGGCGCATGAGCACAGCCCATCAAGGTAGGAGAGGCAGGGCCTTGAGGTGGCTGCTCACATTGTGCTCACAGCTGGGAAGCAGAGAGAGATGTTCAGGTCGCTTTCCCTCTGCCAGTCCAGAAGTCCGGCCTATGGAATGATAGACATTTAGGATGGCTCTGCCATGACCCCCCACTCAGTAAAACCTCTTTAGAAACCCCTTAACAGGGGTTAGAGAGATGGCTCAGAGGTTAAGAGAACTGGCCGTTCTTCCAAAGGTCCTGAGTTCAATTCCCAGCAACCACATGGTAGCTTACAACCATCTAATGAAATCTGGTGCCTTCTTCTGGCATATAAGCATACGTGAAAGCAGACTATTGAATAAATAAATAAATAAATAACCCTCAACAGACCTACCATAAGTTTGTAACCTAGGTAATTCTAAATCCCATCAAGTTGACAATAAAAATTCACCATCTCATCACATAGGAAAGGACAACAACATCCCTAAAATCACTGTGAAATCAAAGAAACAGACAAAAGCCATGTCCTATCATCTTCAGGCTGAGGGGAGTGACAGTTGACCATGGAGCAGGTACTGGCCTTAATTCATGATCCACCTGCCTCTACCTTGCAAGTTCTGGATTATGGGGTGTGTGCTAGCACGCCTGGCCTTGAGGATGCCTTCTGAGCTGGTGCAGTAAAGCACGCAGAACCTCACTAAGCTCTCAGCTATTCAGTAGCTGGCTACTGATACTGTTAAAAGATGAGGCCCTGCTCTCCAACACACACATCGACCATCAGTTTCCCTCAGAGAGCTATGCTGTATATGTTGTGACTACTTCAATTCATTTGCCATGTATTTTATATTCCAGAGGTGATGATCATTTTCAGCAGTTAGCTAAAGGAGTTTGGAGTTAATACTCACCAAGCTACAAGAATCCCTACTGATTAGGAGACAGCAAATTAGATTATTGAAAATGATGCAAATGAGCCAAGGCCAGCTGGTCTACAAAGTGAGTCCAGGACAGCCAAGGTGACACAGAAAAACCCTGTCTCACAAAAGAAACAAAAACAAATGCTGCAAATGTATATCCAGCCTGGAGGTGGATTAGGCTGATGATAGTCAAGGTTGTTAGCCCTCACCAGCCACCACCATTGCAAACAGCATGAGAAGATTAGCCCAAATTAACTTCATCTTTTT